TCAGGCGAGCCAGCGGCCCCGGAATCGCGGCGCAGTGCGCTCCCTGGAGCCGCCCATGCAGTTGCAACTTTAAAACGGCACTGGTTCCTGCCAGCAACCACGAGTGGTGGAGACGTACCCTGGACTACGCCCCTTTTGGCTCGTCCGCTGTTCGCCCCCAGTGGCCCTACCTTGGCGCCTGCGTCGTATCTCGGGCCGCCGAAGGAGAAAGCTTGCCGCCCAGGGGTGCCGTAACAAGAGGGCAACTCGACGCCCTCGTTGCCGGCACCTGGGGCAAACCTCTCCCCAAGCTACGGGACCGAGCCATGGCCCTGCACCTTGCCAGTATGTCTCCCACCAGAACCGCCCTCGCCTGGAACACCTACCTCATCGCGCTCATCCCCTACCCATCCCACTACTCCCTTCCAGACACCGTGCAAGAAAGGGCGCTCCGGGCCCACCTGCGGGTCGCCCTCGGTCTCGCCTCCGCCTCCTGGATTCCCGACAACATCCTCGCCGGCCTGGGCATTCGCTTCCAAGTCCCTGGCTGCCCCATGTGCCCGGTTGCCACCTCGCGTGCGATTGCGGCCAGGGCGCGCGCCCTTGATGACCTGTGGGGGCCCCCGCAGGCGCGGCGCAAGGCAGGGAGAAGGTGGAACTAACTTGTAAAGTGGGCTCGGGAATTCACCCCGCGGGATGAACCACGCAGGCCCGGCTCCAAAGTTCTGACCGACGCCGGGGCAGCCGACCTCTTCAATCGCGCTATGAGAGAGCCCCCCCGACGTCGGGCTCGCTACTTTGGGCGCGTAGTATACGTCGCGGCTTGGACGCAGCTCCACGGGCACGTTGTAAGCAACTGGTTCTCCACAACCAGCGACGGGCGAAGGTGGGCCCAAACAGACGGAGCGGAATGGTCTCTCCTGGGGCATTGTGCCTCCTTCACCGAGGCGCATCACGTCCCACGAATCCTGGCTAACGGACTGCCTGGGTCCGCGCGCCGACGAAGTGTTGCTGACAGGATCCCCCGCCAGTGCGGCTGCGGCAGGGCGGCCAAAAGAGTCTGGCTCACCGCCGGGCAACGGGATCGCGGCCAGGCCTGGTGTGACTCGTGCCTCGGGCCCTGGACTGGAGAGGCTTCCCTCTGGCCCCTCCTTGGCGACGACGCGTTACCCGAGGACCTGCGTCCGCTTGCTGCAGAGCGAAGAAGGCAACTCGGCAGCATCAGCATTCCTATCCGACAAGGGCTCTACAGAGCCTGCCCTCTCTGCGACCTGTGGGAAGCCACCGCCGAGCACGTGTGGTGCTGGTGCCCCGCTGCTGCCCTTGCCTGGGAAAAAGCTAGAGGCCCAGACCGCCCCAGAGACCTTCCCACCGCGATGTGCACCAGGGGTCAGCACCAGAGGCTTGTCTGCCGCCTTCTACGCCAGACCTCCTTCAAATACTGCGTGAACCTGGACTGCGCTCCCATCGGTGCCGACGAAGCCGCCAGACTCATTGTCCAGGGGATCGCTGTGCCTGATACCGACCTCCAGGAAGACAACGATGAGGACGACGACATGCAAGAAGGGCAGTCCCCGGCTGCACCTGCGGATGAAACCGCCGTCTGGGCCCCCATGCTCGACCCCTGTCAGCATTGCAATCCCCAAGGGCCACGCCTGCTGCGCACTCGTGGGGCTGCCGGGCCGCGCCTCGGCAGACAAGCTCCGCGCGCCGGGGGGGAAATCCGGCGCCTCCCTGTCACGATCAGGGCCGCGCGGAGTGGGGGCCGCCTCGCCGTTCTCCAAACTTGCGACCCCAGGGCGAGCTGGGTGCCACCAGGGGTGGGCTGGTTCCCCTGTCCCAGGACGGACAGGTCCCCCAGTGCCCTCTGGACCAAGACCTATTGCAGACTCTGCGACCTGCATACTCTGGTCCTCAGAGCTGGCAGGGATGTGGATGCGGGCGAGGAAATCACCGTCAGAGACTCTCCGCTCCCCGCCGCCGACACTGCCCAATGGCCCTATGAGCTCACGTTCGATGGTGGGGCTCGCCGGATCGGGGAAGGTGACAAGGTCTCCGGCGCGGCCGCTGTCCTCTGGAGACACGACCCGCGCCGCGGCTACCCGCGCGTTGTCGCTGTCGCCGTCGTTGCCCTCCCAGACTGCGACAACGCACAGACGGCGGAGGCCTCCAGGTGCAGAGCGGGCCTCGCCCTGCTCCCCCACGTAGACAGCACGCTTCGAGGGGTCAGGGTGGTTGGCGACAACCTGGCGGCTATCCGGTACGGAGCCGGCACTGGCCGCTATCGGCGGCTCCACCTGGCACAA